TTTTGAAAGGGTATTCATATTTCACTTTAAAACAGAACAATTTGCTAATAAAAATAAATTTCTGCACATCAAACATATATTGCCATCTTTATTTGACCCATATAATTTCCTTTTACACTATACTTATTCTCCTCTATGTACTAATAAATTACATTTTCTTGAAAATTGCAGTTTTGTGAAATTTATCTTTTTACAGCAGAAAACCATGGATTAAACCAGACACTATAGGGGATAACTAGTTCTTCAATAACAAACTTGTCTTCACATCAGTGTATTATTTTTTGAATGTTTGCTTTTCTCAGTTTGACCTAGATTTCTTTTTGAATAGAAACAATTTATTTAACTGTGATTAGAGATAAAAAGTCCCAAAAATCAAGATAAAAACGATGATTTCATTTAAAGAAAGACTATCAAGGCCATAGATATCATCAAAATCTAGAAATGAGGTTTACTTCACTAGATAAAGTATATTAATATTAGTCATGGATACTTAATTTTGGAAGACCTTTAAATAGTATTTGGTTGACTCAAATAAGAATCTGATTGTTATTTACATCTAGCATACTTTGGTGGTTGGGTTGGGTTTGTTTTTTATTTTAGTAACTCCAGTAAAGACTTAATTTCTCTAGACTAAGCTTAAATATTTTTTGGATAGTTCTAAATGATGCATTTTGAGTTAATATGCAGAACATTCCATCTCCACTTAACTATTATTTTTAAATTGTAAATTAGATCACACAAAACACACTTACTTCCTCTCTCATGTCTTTTCTATTCTGCCTTCTCACTCTAGATAGCTCTGTTTAGGAAAAAAAATGAAGAGATTTGGGAGGAGGATGTAAAATTCTGTGAATAGAGGAATAGCTTCAGTGGTCCCTTGTGTGGTGCAGTTTTCCTCTCTTCATGATTCTTGATCTTCGTCCATTTCTCCAAATTTTCAACATCCCTGCTAAAATGTGGTTTCCATAACTGGATGCTGCCTCTGAAGGAAATTCTGATGCACCTAAATGTAAAAAGGATCATTACACCATTGTTTTGTATCTTATGATTACGTTAGCATTTGGGCACCTGCAAGGCATGTTGACATGGTGGTCTCAAGAGACAACTGAACATCTTTGGCTGGGTAGATAGTGCCTAACTGGTAACCTGAGATGGGAATTTTGTGGCTAACTCATCAAGAGGCATCCTGGCCCGTATGAAATTGATCAAAGGCCTTGACATATGGTTCCTGGAATCCGTAATACCATGCCTGCAATATTTACCTGATTTTGTGTCTCCTAATCTTATTTTTAAAAATGAGGTTTTTGTTCCCAGTAAACTAACGTTGGCTTTTAAGAGTCTGTTTTGTTCTTTTGGGTTCTCTCATGAGACATCCTTTTTGTGATCTGTAGAACCTTGATAAAGGACCATTATTGAATTTACTAGTTTGTAGTTGCAGAGCACATATTTGCGGGCAGGTAGCTAAGCTCCCAGCAAAAAAACTGGGTCCCTTTGGTAGAGTTGTAAGGGATAAGAAAATTATACGGAAAAATGGAAAATAAAAGAATACACAGAGACAAAGATATAGTTTTATAAGTTTATAAAGATTATAGGCAAAGCGTGATCTCAGGGGGCCTAGACCTTCTCCGTGGGTCTCAAAAAGCCCCGAAAGAGGTCTTACATGGTAACTTATAGGGAATAGTGATTAATTGGCAGGGGTGACAGATTTACCTAACAACATGTAGTTCCTCTCAGGTTAACAGATTTTCAAAAGGCTTCTACAGATCCTTTAACTAATTCTATCTACATGAACAAATGATTACAAAATCTTTCAAAGATTAACTTCTCAGTTCTAAGGTAAATTTATCAATAGAGGGGTCAAACAGAGATATGTTGGCTCCATATTTATTAGGTTATTGTGAATGGAGACAGGTAGTCTGGAGTGTTTAAACAAGAGCTTCTTTTAGCCATTTGGGCAGCTGTCTGTTCCGGGGGGCACTCCATTGTCAGCTCTCATCCTATAGTTTTTAACAGATTGCTTTGCTTTACAAAGCAAATCCAAACCTTTAGGTCTGAGAAACGTGGCGCCTTGTGGGAATCAGCTGCTACTGTCTTTCAGAGACGCCCTTCCGAGTGCAACAGCATTTGAAATGCAAACCAACACATTCACATATTCCTTCAGAGCAAAGCTCTGCAAAACTCCTAAGACAAATCCTGTCTGCAAACACATCTATACTAATTCATGGAGCAACACATATTCTTCTTCAATTTGAAAAATCAAAATTATTCACTCTATTTTTTTCATAATTCCTTGAAGACCACATAATGTCTTTGTAATGTAATGTAATTCAGAATACTCATGTATGAGATCTCTCAGTACCCGTATTCTATATGTAAATTTTTTACTCTGAGAGTCTTGAATCCCTTTAGAATAGCCAGGTTCTACCTTATAATTCTATCACTGGTTTAGCTATAGATTCTCACTTACTGATATCTATCCCCCTATTTTATAACTTTTTTTTCTCTTAAAATTATTCTCTGAGTCTGGACAAACACAAAGTAGGAGTCATGTAATTTTGTTTTGCTTCTTTAATGTATTAGTACCATAAGCTTGAGTAATAATAAAAAAAGCAACAAATCTGTGCATTACACGTTGCAAGTAAAAAGGCTTTAGCATACATGATTTATCTTCCTTTTTTACTCATCCCAAACATAACGTCAAAAGGTCCTTATTGGTGTTAGCAATTCTCATTTCATTATGAGTTAATATTCCTAGATGTTTATTGATTTCTTTTGTTCATTCTGGCTTGTATATATCTAATTTTTGTTTCTGGAAATCTAAACATATCGGAGAACTTCCTCTTCAATAGAGAACAATTGGAAGACAAATCTACCTTTTTATTCTTTATTAGGGGCATCTGAAATTATAAAGTCAGAATGACTTTGAGGCTTCGCATCTTATTATGGTATCATGCTCTTGGTTCACGGCCTTATTGCCCAGATATCCAGTTGTGTTGAACCAAGCTGCTCCCTACCATAAAGAAGGTGCTTTCCCAGGTTCTGCCTCTTTTCTCCACCCCGAGGAGCTCATTTCCAATCTTACATCTGGGTTCCAAGGAATCAAATCAGCTGTTAATTCCCTAGTTTTACCTGTCATCTCAAGGGAGCTACATTTCTACGAACTCTTATGCTTTTCTCACTTCAGTAGTTTAGAAAGATGAATTCGAGAGACAGGAAAATCAAATCAGAAGCTACTGGGCCACTCCAGGATGACACGATGATAAAAATTTGCCTTTGGAGGCATTAGAAGAATTAGGAAAAAAACAGTAATCATCTACTACAGTTAAGCACTTTAAATATAGTTAAGGAACTACACAAAGAAAAATGTTAGAGTTAATCATTTTCCTGACAACATGTAAGATGGCACTTGCTAAGAGGAATTTCAAAACATAATGCTAGGGATTCTATTGTTTATTGAGAGATCTTGGGATCTGTATGTGTATGGAGATAATAAAACATTTAGTACCATGATATATTGTACATTTAAGAGACTAGGAACAATATTACTCATTTCTGCATAATTTCTCTTCCTTATAGAAAGGATACACATTTGTGGCTGAAGTATTTACTGGCGACACATATGCAGTGGCCTCACGATGGAAACTGCGCCTCATTGGTTCTTACACTCCACTCCCATGCCTCTCTCGGGACTCTCCATGCAATACCTTTACTATAAAGGAAATCAGAGATCACTACATACCCAATGATAAGAAAATTTTATTCAGGTACAAGTATATGACCAAAGGGAAAATGCATTTTTTTTAAAATGTTAATATTTTAGGATAAAAATCAATTTGGCAGTA